TGTTGAGCTTTTTTTTAAAAATATTATCTTCTATCGCGTTTCGAGCCTGCGAATTTTGATTTTTAAATAGCCTGTCTCATTCTCTCTCACTTTAAACTAGGGATATCTTTATCCATGGAGATATTTAGATTGTCAAACTAAATTAATTGTTGGCACTACAAGATCCTTAACAGTATTAAAAAAAATTCTAATACACACACACACACACATATATATATATAATATAGATATATAAATATATATATATATATATATATATATATATATATATATATATATATATATATATACATATATATGTATACCCACCCCACTCAAGGAAAAACTATATGGGGCACCTGCTAATCTGGAGACCAATCCAGTTTATACACGAAGTTGGGCTTGTTGTTTAAATCATCCATCATATACCAAATTAAGAACGAAAAAGAAGAAGATTTAAACCATTACACGTACCACCACAACACCAGGTCCACCAACTTAAACATCATTCAACCCATTACATAAAGACCTACTACCACAACATAAACTCTACCAACTTTAACATCGTCAACCCATTACATGTACCACTACCACATCAACTCTACCAACTTAAACATCATTTAACCCAATGCATGTATCACTACACCATTCCCTACTTCAATACTTTCACGAAACCCCATCACAAATACCATCAATTTATACAGTTCTTCTATTTACTATTTTAGCGTCTTCCCTTTACATGCTTTGGCACATCGTATATTACTATAAATGGGTTACACGTACTATAAAAAACATTTCTGCAACAAGTCTATATTCAGACAACCAATTAGGACGGTAATACATCTTTTATTTTTGATAAGAAAAAGTTTGCGCATAATACTTCACTAAACACACTTTATCGTTATAGTACATCTATAACATTACACTAAAACTTAAGCTACCTGCCTTATTCTTGTCTATCAACAACTTTTCATACTTTTCACTAAGCCATTGTTTTATGCTCTCGTTGTTTCATTCTCACCCAACACATGTTTTATAATAAAAATAAGAAAAACGAACTATCTAATCCGTTAAGTGTGATTGTGTAATTATTTCTTGCAATAAAACATCATGCATCAAGTGTTTATGTTAAGTGCATCCTTAAACTTTTTAACCTGTATTGCAACATTACACTTTTTTTCTGACGTGTACTTTCTTCCACAAGCATTTATCTATGTATTAACGGGAATTTTTAAGTTTCATTTCATCAAATGAGAATATGTCTGTTTATTAATGCGTGCCGTTTTTGCGTCTGTATGTCTCTGTAGATTGTTCGCTTTTCTTATACTGTGTTTGTCAGCGGCTGTGAAGACTAATATATATTTGCAAAAATACAGGTTCTTCTGTCCATCTAACTGAAAATCTGAACTTAGTTTTTAGTAATGAGTTGGCACTTTGGTTAAAACAACTCAATATTAGTAGACTAACACGGTTATAGACGCTTTAGGTAACCTAAATTTAAATACATTTTAGCCCTGAGGGTGGTGCGAGGACCTTTGACCACAGGAGCTTTGACCATAGGTAGTTTGACCACAGCGGGGCTTTGACCATAGGGGGTTTGACCACAGCGGAGCTTTGACCATAGGGGGTTTGACCATAGGTGACCCTAGGTGGTTTGACCACAGCGGAGCTTTGACCATAGGGGGTTTGACCATAGGTGACCCTAGGTGGTTTGACCACAGCGGGGCTTTGACCATAGGGGGTTTGACCATAGGGGCTTTGACCCTAGGTGGTTTGACCACAGCGGGGCTTTGACCATAGGGGGTTTGACCATAGGGTCTTTGACCCTAGGTGGTTTGACCACAGCGGGGCTTTGACCATAGGGGCTTTGACCATAGGGTCTTTGACCCTAGGTGGTTTGACCACAGCGGAGCTTTGACCATAGGGGGTTTGACCACAGCGGGGCTTTGACCATAGGGGGTTTGACCATAGGGGCTTTGACCCTAGGTGGTTTGACCACAGCGGGGCTTTGACCATAGGGGGTTTGACCATAGGGGCTTTGACCCTAAGTGGTTTGACCACAGCGGGGCTTTGACCATAGGGGGTTTGACCATAGGGGCTTTGACCATAGGTAGTTTAACCACAGCGGGGCTTTGACCATAGGTGGTTTGACCACAGAGGGGCTTTGACCACAACAGGGCTTTGACCATAGGTGGTTTGACCACAGAGGAGCTTTGACCATAGGGGGGTTTTGACTATAACGTGGCTTTGACCATAGGGGTTTTGGCCATAACGGGACATTAACCATAGGGGGTTTTACCACAGAGGGCTTTGATCATAACGGGGCTTTGAACATAGGGGGTTTGACCACAGGTGTTTTCTCAGCAGAGGGTTTGTGATGACAGGTGGTTTGTCAACGAGTGTTTGATAGCAAGCGCTGTGTCCGGCTTTGACCACAGGCGTTTTGTCCACATGTGGTCCTTGACCACAGGTGTTTTGTCCAAAAGTACAGCGTAGGCTACTGTTTAGACATATGGCCAAACAGATGTACTGACATATTGGCGTGCTATAGTCATCCGTCATTTAGTTAACCAAGTAAATATTACTTACTGTTGGCATTTTAAAATCATTTTTTATCTTTTAAATATATTATGGATTTTCAAGTGCATCTACATTATTTATCTGTGAACCTTGTTATACGTCGCCTTATTTGTGTTCCTTTTATATTCAAAATAAATATTTGAGGCCTAGCACCAGCCTTTATGTGGAGACTGAAATATCGTTCTTGACTTTTTTTTTAGTACATGTTAATTTCTATTAATGGACTCTCACGAAACATGTATCAAATTGTAATTATGTATCATACATTTAAATCAAATAACAGTTTCTAATTTATATTTTAAAATATGTATATTATGGTTAACCACCCTCTGTGGTAAAAGCCCCGTTGTCGTCAAAGCCCTGTTGTGGTCAAAGCCCCTATTGTCAAACTCCATCTGTGGTCAAAGCCCCTATGGTCAAACTCCATCTGTGGTCAAAGCCCCTATTGTCAAACTCCATCTGTGGTCAAAGCCCCTATTGTCAAACTCCATCTGTGGTCAAAGCCCCTATTGTCAAACTCCATCTGTGGTCAAAGCCCCTATGGTCAAACTCCATCTGTGGTCAAAGCCCCTATGGTCAAACTCTATCTGTGGTCAAAGCCCCTATGGTCAAACTCCATCTGTGGTCAAAACCCATATGGTCAAAACCCTTCGGTGGTCAAAGCCCCGATGTGGAAAAAGCTCCTATTGTCAAACCCCCAATGGTCAAATCTCCGCTGTGGTCAACCCCCTATGGTCAAAGCACCTAGGACCCTGGCGGTGACACAAATCTACTTAAAATTTGCTGATTTTTACCACATCAAAATTACGATAAACAGAGGCAACGTCAGAAATTAAACATTACAGCTGACAGTAGTGTTCATTGATACAAGTATGATCGCTGGCCCCTGTCAATGTTAAATCTACGGACCATATTTGCTAAGACAGTATCTGTTGAACTCGTAGTGCCGACTCATTGCTTAATGAATGGATACATATTGAATAAAATATTGAACATGTTGAATAATATTTTTATTAGTTTCGATGACGATTTTTTGTTTCCAAAAAGTAAATTTGTAATCACCGCCACGACATCTTCTGATCCCAATTGACATTTAGGTCGACTGCTGGATGTAAAATTGACACACTGTGATTTTAACTCTGTTAATGTTTGTTTGCCATCGTCTAATGGTCGGGATTTGACACGAACGTCCTTAATAGGAAAGGGAGCTAACAGCAGAAGAGGGTGGAAGAATAGGGCTGGTAAGTAGGGTACCATGCAGGTTTTATTGAGCCGTAGAGCTGGTTGGTGACCTACTTACCAGCCCTATGATAGAAGAAGAGGCAAAGGCCGCAATACTCACTTGAGCAAAGATAAAGGGGGAGCAGCCCGAAACCGAGTCCGATAGAGAGGTGTAATTGTTATACATGTTACACTCGTGTACATCGATATATTTTGGAATGGACCTCGTTTACCTACAGAGCGGTGTAACTGTATTTTTTGAAGATAATTATATGCTTTAAATGCTTACGACATATACTTAAAATAAGATGGCCAGACAAAATATCAAACAAAGACCTGTGGCAAATTTTAAAGCAACAGCCAATAGAGAAAGATATCAAGACCCGTAAATTGAGATGGATCGGACACACGTTAAGAAGAGAAAAATAAAATATTGCAAAACATGCTATGGACCGGAATCCCCAGGGAAAAAGGAAAGTGGGCCGGCCAAAGAAAACATGGAAAATAACGTTCGAGGAAGAGGCAAATATATCTGGGCTCACATCGGCACAGATTAAAGGAGCAGCCCAAAACCGAATCCGCTGGAAATGTGTAGTTGCAGCCCTTTGCTCCCCAGGGGCCACAAAGGAATGATGATGATGATGATGATAGCTTTAAAAGTAGACATGTATTCATTCAGGAATATCTCCACCTACTAACAATTAGAAATGTGGCAGCTTTACATTAAAATGATTGTTTTCGTACTACATGAGAATAGATTGGTGGATTGTTTTTTTAGATATGAACTGTGTGTCTGTTTGAGAGACATTTAGTGGTTTAACGATTAAGTACTGTTAAAAGCCATTCATGTCGGTTGAGTTGTTGGGAATTTGTTCTATTTAAAGGTCATTCGGTTTGATAGTGGACACTGTCTAAAAATTTAAAAATACACGTAGCTCTATACAATTATTTTAAATTAAGTATGTGTTAAATTGTGCCTGGTAACTGCATTCGTCTCATCCATTATCCAATCTGTCGCTTAGAGCTCAATTAACATTTAAGTTTTATTGAGCACGAATAATAATTATAATTTAGTGAAATAAAATAAAATGAAAACATGTGCAAGTTATACTACACTTAATTGGTATCTCTAATGTAAATACTATAAACATATGATTGCAAATTGATCTGCATATGCTTTTATATTATAAAAATTGTAACTGTCTTTCAATAATTTTTTAAAAATTTGAGATAGCTTAATTTAGGTTAATGTATTTTTTGTATCTTTTTAATTATGTTACTAAAATTCAAAATTAAATATTTCAATTGTTTTTTAAACAAACGTACAATTTTAAAAAGTGTAGTTTTATTTTTAGCAACAATGCAATTGCTGCTTGTTACACGGGTCTGTCAGGGACTTCACAGATGAACCTGGTATTCCCGCTGTTGTCATTGCAGTTGTAGTCGTCCATCTTCCAAGCACCAAATCGGAACAGGAGGGTCATACAGACGGCGTCATTTGTAGGCTGACCTGTTTGCCAGTCGATAAAGGTGACCTTTTTTCCACTGTATTTGAACACCCAGACACGGTCCTGATCCTCGTCCTTAGCCCCGGTGTAAACAATCTCGAACCCACTAAACCCTTGGATGAAATTCTTGACAAAATTATATTCAGCCTGGTCGTCGATCTCGAGCAGGTAGCCACCCATCAGCTCACACACGGCCTGAGATTTTACGATGTCGACGTTAACTAAAGGTTTAGACAGGTAGTACCGCCGGCCGTTGGAAGGACCGGATGCCTCGAACAAGACAGACGAGGCGTTGGCGGTTCTGGAACAACAGTCGGCTAAAAATAAATTAATTTTTTATAAAATTCAAAAAATAGCCTACATAAAGTCTCAACAGGGTTAGTCAAATGTTTTTAATGTAAACAGAGTGTAATGATTTTGAATAATTTCATTTTACTTTATAATTATTGTTTAAAACTTACAGCAGGGGCGTAGTGAAGGGGGGGTGTGGACCGCACCGGGTGACACCATTTAGGGGGGTGACACCAAGGCAAAAAATAAATAGCAAAATATATAGAGAAAAATGATAATTTCACTTAATTAAGTGATTAATTCGAGTGTTAAATAGTCTTTTAAGAGGTGCAAATCGAAAGTTTAAGAGGGGGTGCAAATCGAAAGTTTGAGGGGGGGGGGGTACAAATCGAAAATTGAAAGTTTGTCCCCGTGAAGGGTCGCTACGCCTCTCGGAGTGACATCATTAAGTGCCGCACCGGGTGACGCTCGACCTCGCTACGCCACTGACATACAGTACTGATGTTTGTTTTTGTTCTCTTTTTTTTTCTTTCACATATTCTAGTAAGTTCAAACTAGAACATTTTAAAATATGACACATTTGAGAAAAGAAAGATACTTCGAATAAATGTCAAACATTTGGGGACTAGCTCTCCAACAGTATTCAGACACTCTGTTCACTGTGTTGTAAGCAGTATAGACCTATGTTTCTCTATGACAGATCTATATCATTTTTTGTGGAACCCGAATTAGGTTAGATTTTAATCAACGTCATCAATGAACCCAACGGAGAACAGCCTCGAAATTATTTCGGATGCTCATTTAATATTTTATAAATCATGAACGGTGTCATGAAAAATCAATAAAAAATCAATATAGTTATAAAATTCAAACTGTTCGTTTTTTTTCGGATTTTATAAAGAGTGGAAGTATTTGAGTTTTTAGTATTTTTGGTAATTAAACACATTTTTAAAAAAGGCAAAAGCACATTGATTTTCACGTGGTAATGGCGACATAACCGATGACATCTTGCTATTCGACAGGCTAAAATACATTTCATTATACAAAATGTAAACAAAAATGGAAGAACTAGGTCATGTGTTTAAAATAGCATTATGTAATTTAATGCCTATTTAAATGCAATTTATTTCGAAATTATTATTTTTATTATATGTATACATTCTACACATATATTTCAGGTTTATTTAATAGCCACGCAAGTACATATTCAATACTGTTTGTTGAAACAAATTGTAAACATTTTATAACGAACCTTAATTTTTTTTTAAAATGCCACTTTAGAATCATTTGATACTATTAGATTGATGTTCTTTGGGTATTTTTTTAACATACAAATGGTAATACTTAATTGAACACTCGTATACATTAAATTGTTATAAATCGAACATAGTTTTTAGCATATTTTTATGTAAATCTTGTTAGTTTATAATGCATATGACATACCGACACACTTGTTTGGGTTGGAAAAAGGTTTAGTGTAGCCAGGGAGACATGAGCAAGCGTAACTTCCCTGTGTGTTGATGCAGGTCTGTTGGGTATTACGTTGACCACAATATCCCTTTGTATTCCGATGTTTAAAACATACTAAAATAGCATATGCATACAAAACTAAGAATTGGGTCTAGCGAAATATGCCTTTGTGGCAAGGCCCCGAAGAATACAGAGCACGTCCTTCTAGAATGTTCATTATATAGCCATGCGCGATCCAAACACTGACCCCTACACACCCCACTCAAGGAAAAACTATAAAGGGACACCACTGTTCTCGGGACCACAGTCCACTTCATACACGAAGTTGGGCTTGTTGTTTAAATCATCTATAAAAAAAACTTAATTAAGAACGAAGAAGAAGAAGAACTCTATTTCATCTGCACTATGGTAAGTTATTCAACGAGAACTTTACTTTTTATTGTGCTAAAGCACAAACCACCTGACAGCTGCTACATAATCTACTTAGCTAAAGTACGTGTCTAGGTATTTTGCTATAAATATAAAAAAATGCATGGCAGATCAAGCAATTAGACACATGCATGTACATTGCAAATTCAGCGTTCAATTTTCTATAGGTACAATATATTGCCTCCTGCCATCAATAGAGCATTAGTTTCAATTTTCGTAAAAATAAAATTGTTTACGGATACCATTTATTAGATCAAGGCATAGCCATACATCAGTGTCTGGCTGTCATAAAGAGGCCTACAATTATTTAATTTTAAATAGGCCTATACAGAAATAAAAAAAAAACTAAGCCTTGCGATTTAATCATAAAAAAACAACAGGCTACGATAGCCGAATTCCTACTTATAAATACCGAAACATTTTAAATATGTCGATTTTAATTAAATTATCTACAGGGAAAGATTTATTGAAAAAAGAAAATAGAGAAAAAAATACTTTTTCAACTGCCTAAGATTAAGTTTTGTTGGCGCAAAAGTATGTTTGAGAAATTTTTTTTTCTATGTAGTACTTTATGATGTTAATGTTGCTACAAATGTAACTGGTTCTTTAAAATTTAAATATATTGTAATACCACATGTGTGGAATAGTGTTTCAGAAAATGTCAAATTAATTGTTTACTCTTAATTGATTGGCTGAGATGTAGGCCTACGGAAACAATAATTAACTGTATCACAACATCTGCAACGATATATATGAGCATAAGAAAAGAAAAACAGGTTTAGTCTCACAAACAATGCAAAAAGTGCGAAAAGTTAAGCCACGCCACTTGTGGCATATTTCTGTTTTCTAGACATTTAAATATTTAAACGCACGCCACAAACAGGTTTGTATTAGTGATAGGGTTATGGTTAGTGTTTGCGTTTGTGTTTGTGTTAGGGTTAAAGGTACCAAAATATAGACCTTTATTTTGCAAATTATTAATATGTCCCAATTTTATTATGAACTATATAAACATAAATAAATAAATCTAAGTGTCTTTTATGAATTACTACATCTTTCACATGATCGGCATGAAACGGGGAAATTGTTGAAAACACTCTTGAAAATACTCGTGGCAAAATATTTCGATTTCGCAAAGGTGGCGCCCGTCAAGATGCGATGCGATTTTTCTCAGTATACGGTATATAAAAATAAAAGTTGGATGCCGTATGATACCGTTCATTAAAATCGCCATGAAACTTTGGGGAGTTGATAAGAATACTGCTGGGGCAGCCTAGTCTTCAATAAAATCTTAAATTACAAGTTTCAAACCAACTTATTCTGATGGCCAGGGTTATCTTTTTGGTGGCGCTTATCAAAATCCATATATATATATATATATATATATATATATATATATATATATATATATATGTGTGTGTGTGTTTGTGTGTGTGTGTGTGTGTGTGTTTATGTATGAGTTTGTGTACCTGACTAGACCTAGACAAATTCAGACATCAAACTTACCTACACGTAGGTCAAACTTACCTATACATTTCCAGACTTACCTAGAGGTATATGTATTTAAACCAGACTTACCCTTAACATTTATACATACAACATACTAACCTACACACGTGAATGGAGCACGTCTGCTGAATGCGAAGCCGGGACTACAAGTACGTACGCGTTCAGGACGTGATGACCATGAACGGGAATCTGTAAACATGTTTTTTTTTAAAGAAATCTCTCAACAATTGGGTTTATTCGTATGCAAGTTTTTTTATCTGAAGTAGGAATTTTTTAACTAATTCAGATTTCAGTAAAAAGAGATGTGATTGAAATACATACATACATACAATTATATATATATATATATATATATATATATATATATATATATATATATATATATATATACTTATATATATGTATAAGACTGTTGTAAAGTTAAGTTGATAGCTATTTCTTTCGCTCTCGAAATATGTACCAATAATACCCGATTTTTACAAAGAAGAAGCTCCATTTCTGAAAATATAAGTCGGGAGATGAGAGAGTTTGGTTATGAATACCTGGAAGGGGGATGGCGGAGGCATCAGTGGACCATCTAAGTTTTCAAAAAGATGTTAGTTTGATCATAGAGGTGGGGATACAATTTTACCTATTGTCGGAACATGTAGGTAATTTAAAGCGTGACTATTTTAACTTATACTGTTTTTATTCTGTTCCTTTTTTCGCGTCAGTTTGCCTTGCATGTTCGCTTTAGTACAACAGTTTTCATCATCGGCTTTTGAGGACTGATACAGATTTACAATAGTAATACTTCTTTCTTGGTTGGTTGTAGCCTAGTTTCATTCATTTAAGATGCTTTGCTTACACATATTTTTTTTTTCAAGACAATAAAGACACACCTTCGTATCAAGGCGGCCTCCCTCTTTGATGGCAGAGACATGCCTAAAGGGAAAGACGCCCGCCCTCTATGAACAATACAACTAGACAATAGTTAAGCGTCGGTCACACCTCGGTGATCATGTGACAAATGCTTAAATAAACGGAAACGATCATCGCGGAGCCAAGTTTGTCTTAGTGTGCATGCCAGCAAAGCAGTATTAGTGGTGATTAACAAGTTATTGCCACTTTAAAAAAAATGTTCAAATCAACTAAAATCCTCGAATAATTATTAAAATTTAGCTGTGAGATATTTTGTCTGAGATAATTTGTCTGAGATAATTTGTCTGAGATCATTTGTCCTGAGATCATTTGTAATGGAACCATACTAGCATACCCGGGTGACACCCGATCTCGGTTTATAACACCCATATTTCGCTATTATAGTATATGTATATATTCTATGTAAATATATGTATATATATATATATATATATATATATATATATATATATATATATATATATATATATATATATATATATATATATATATATACATGTTGCTATTACTTTATGTCGATAATACCCAATCATCTATACAATTTAAGATTTTAGACAGTGTTATTATTTGATGAATTTGACTCACCATTAGCATAAGTTAAGCTTGCGAGCAACAGGGCTGCAAGTATTATTTCTGTGCATGCAGACATTATTGTAGAAATATGCCTCACGAGTTTTCTAAAACCAAAATAAACAAAAATATTAAGAACGAGAAAAATGGCCCGTTGAGGAAGGATACAACGGGCGCTAGGTTGATAGTGCTGTCTCTTATCTCTAAACTAAAACCAAAACCAAAATCACCACCTTCATTCAATTTAACCGGAAACGAAAGATGACATTGAAAACGGATTTTTATCCAGAATCGGTACTTTAATTTATACAAAATATAGTCATAGGCATATCCCTAAACCATGCACCTAATCTCATTCATGACAACAGTCGCATTTAGAGATTCTTTCAGGCAACTCTACTTGGGCGGAGGGGGCTACCCCCCCCCCCCCCCACACACACCCCAAAACATGTCTACCGTCCCATTCAACGAAATATAATTATATATTTTTTCCAGTGTCCGTCCCCTCCCAGAAAATTCTACCCCCGCTCCCGAAAATTTCAAGTACCCCCACCACTCTCCGGGGAGGAAAAAGTCTGAAAGAAACACTGGTCGCATTTGTAGATCATACAAACTAAAGGAAGAATCTGGGCGGGGCTTCGCCCCTACCGGAAGAGAGGAAAAAGTCTGAGAGAAACACTGGTGTCGCGCTTAGCCACTACCCGAAGAATTATATTAAAGAAATTGCAAGAAAACAACTTTTTAGATTAGACACATTAATTAGGCGGTAATTTTATTATAGAGTATCGATGAAGAAATTTTTTTTGAGTTGGGGAGGGGGGGGGGCTCAGACGTTCTTACGTGGGGGTGGGGCTTCGCCCCTACACGAAGAATTGTATGAAAGAAACTCTTCACGCAAACCATTTAGATTAGACAAAATTGCCTTTTTATTCAATGTTTACTCGAGAATCAATGACGTAATAATAATGTGTGCACTCTCCGGCTTGAGATTATTTTTTACTGTATGACGTCATACTTCGTTTTCGTCTGACTGTGCATGTTTTTAATTTGCTTGTGTTTTCTCTAGAGCGTTCTTGTCAGATACATAGATAGGTACACAGATAGATAGATACACAGACAGCAAAACTATTATTATAGACGAGAAAAATGGCCCGTTGAGGAAGGGTACAACGGGCGCTAGGCTGATAGTGCTGTCTATTTTCTCTAAACTAAAACCACCCCACCCCCCACCACCCCCCACCCCCCCCCCCCCCCACCCCCCACAACTGTACAGTTACAAATAAGTTGATGAAATTTCATATATAAGTATTTTATCAAAATCGTAGATCCGTTTCAACTTTTGAGCGATTTCCGATAACCGGAAATGGTACTTTTCCTACTTTGAATTTTTCAAAAGCCTATAACTTGAGTACTATTTCAGATAGATAAATGAAATTTCACATGTAAGTAAAAGATCTACATTTCTACCTTCTGTTAAATTTTGAGTAATTTCTGTTGACCGGAAGTAGTAATTTACGCTACTTCCGATTTCTCAAAAAAACAAATGTAAATTTTAAAAGTACTAATAATATTGCGCACTATTATGCAATTTTTTATATGGCGTTCACTTGGTGTGCAAGAAGTTTGTCTACGAGATTTTACTCTTTTTTTTAAAACTTTAAGTATTTAAAATGGATTAAAAATCATGTCTATAGCCCGAGTTCCCATCCCCTGTTATTTTATATAAGAATATTCGAGAAAGTTTAGGATAGATCACTCCCGGTTAATTTAAGGAGTTTTTTGTGACCTGCTGAATGTATTTAATTTTTTTTTACGCACTTCAATATTGTTTATGATGACTTTAAAAATTGAAAATTACATTTAAAAACTACATAATAAACCTTTAACTAGATACCATTTCATTTATCAAATTTAATTGTTATTCTAGAAAATGATTTGTAAAAAAAAACGCTTTTGTTTTTAAATGGCTACGATAAGATCGATTTTCAGTGATACGGTGGGTAAGTTTTTTAATGAGTGTTTTTGTGTCCAGATCGATCGTTCACTGCAGTTCAGCAGAAATGAATAGTCTGCTAGATTTCTCCCCATTCAAATACACGACGTGTATAATGGGCGGGCTTAGTTAGCTGTTGTGTCTAACAAGTTATTTTTTAAGGTTTTATTTTATCATTCATGATTTTTAAAACATTAATGACATTAGTTTAATAGAAAAAGTTGTATTTTTTTTATTAGTTTAGAGTATATTTCAATATGGTTAGAACAATATTAAATAAAGCGATTCGCGTTTTGCTTACTTTTTATGTTCTGCTCAATATTCCAAAAAAAATGTACAAATGGCAAGTTAGTACCAAGCACTAATCGTGTTAATCTATCTATATATATAATTCTCTTCTGGGAGACGCTAGAAATCAAGCTGTAAGCGCCCCTTGCAGTCCCCTCTCTCCTTCACTAGGCATAAATCAACCACCACCACCCCCACATGGTCTGGTGAGCTGTGGTTCACGCTAAATGTTTACAATCATACAGCCGGGTTAGTGACGTCTATTCGGGGCAGACAATTAAATTTTAAACTATTTTAAACTTAGGTGAGGTAATTTAAGGCAGGCTGCTTTCAGGGGGGGGGGGGGGGGTAGGGTAGTGGTTGGGGGAAAGGAGGGTAGGGGGTTATCGTCCTTAACAGCCTACTGATAGTGTTTTAAAGCAAATGTTTACAGTGGCAGCATTGATACTGTCGAAGTCACAAATTATGAATTACTAAAAAGTAAAAAATAAAACAACTAAGTAGCGGCGTATGATACGCCGCGGGTCGGCTAGTACTATAAATTCTATCTACAAAAACAGTATATTATACTGATACAGACAGAAATATCACCATACACCAATACAGATACTTAATACTATAAACACTATCTACACAACACATTCTATTCTAAACAGTAAATACATACGCTGTTACAAAATCTAATACACTGGGGCTAAATACTTGTAAAGAACTAACGTACACTAAACATGTTTGAGATCTGGACGAAAAAACTCAGGCCATTACACACTTTTGTTTTACACGCATATACTCGTACAGAAAACAGGTACAAAAAGGTTGTCACAACTCACAACACGAGGGTTGTACAAGGACGAACGGGACATTATAAACAAAATTCACCTCCATTCACACCCCCCTTAACTCATTCACTACGTGTATAGGCGCAGTCTTTTTTAAATTACTTCTGTAACTGCTTTCAATCACATTACACTAAATATCTTTTGTTTTTGAAAGCACTTAGTTTTTAAACTATAAATAGTCCAATTATCTGTTAGAATTGTTTGCGCCATTTTTTTCTTTTAACTGCTTATACTGGGTAGGGATACTAACATTACATGTTAAAATACTTGCTGAAATTACTTCAGTGGAGCTACAGTTTATTTCGAATTGTAAATTTAAATTAGGAATAATTATTCCTAGAACATCCGATGCGTAAAAAAAAGATGAACAACTAATTGCAGCTGGCTGTAATGAGTGGTACATTATTTGTCTCAAATACTTATGTAAATTATACAGCTTTTGCAGTCAGGCTGAAAATGTATGCAATGCGAAAATTCGAAAGATGTCAATAGTTCTGTGAACATCATTACATACATACATTCTGTCCGTGTGTCAGTGTGTCTAAATGTCCGTTTTTCCGTTTGTCCGTGTGTCCGTGTGTCCGTGTGTCAGTGTGTCCTTCTACCCATGTGTCCGTCTGTCCGTGTGACCGTGTGACCATGTGTCCGTGTGTCCGTCCGTCTGTCTGTCCGTCTGTCCGTCTGTCTGCATGTCTGGATGTCTGTCTGTCTACCCCCGAATAGAATTTAATTTATATACAAAACATACTTTTACTATTATCCGTCCTCCACCACCCCAAAATATTTAGTGCTCCCCGTCGGAGAAACAAGTTTGGAAAAACAACTGATGATAACGAAATACACATGTGTTTGTTTTTTCGGGAATTCCTAGTAAGCTTTTAAAACTGAACAAAGTTTATATATTTTTAAAATGTAATTTAAATGAATTTTCGAAAAGTAGCAGCGGCGAATTTTCTAATACAATAGTTGATGCTAGCAGAAATGTACTTTTATTTTATTGGAAATATGAATCGCTCAAAAGTTATACTGAAATAGAAAAAAGATTGACTATAGCTTGCAAACTAAATAAAATATATTTGATCGAAAAATATGAGTTGTCGGTAAAGCTCATGGTTGCTAAACCGAAAATTCTCGAGTTCGAACCCTCGGGTAGATGAGGCTCGATAACTGGGGACAGCAACTCATCTAAGTGAGACAACTCCAAAATCAAACAACTGCTGCCTTGTAACAGGCTATGGAAGCAAATGCAAAAAGAAAAGCAAGCTGAAATCGGAGTCCACGGCCTCAATGGCGCATAACCAGTTGACGCGTGTACGTAATTGTATTTCAGGGAATACCTGCCAACAACCGGAGTGGTCTAGCGGTAGAGAGCTGGACTGCTAACCCGTAAGCCTCGAGTTCGAATCCGGGTTCAAGTCAGTAGACCGTCACTTAGTCAACCTAACTCTGCTGAGTATCTAACTCACGTTATACATTCATATGCATTATACATTATACATTCATATACCGAGATCACAGAAACAAGTGAACTCTACTGCACCTGCCCTATAAACCTAGGGGTTTGGAAGAGAACTTAACTCCCAGCAATAAAACTAAGAATGAAATTCAATATAAAATCATACTTGGTGAGTAATTGAGCTTCAAAGAGCTGCAACCATAAGCTTGTATTGTGATTCAAAAAACAAACTTCTGCCAAGGCACTTTGGTGATGCTGGAACGATGGAGCATTCTCAAAAATCGAGGCTTTTATTTTAGCTGATCGCCCCGAATTGTAAAATAAGTCACATGGCAGGAGACTAATGAACGAAACAGCTTTTCTCCTGGGGTAATTATGTAAAGTAAACTTAGTCATCTCCAGGGAAAACAGGAATGTAAATTAAGTCTTTGTTTAGTCCTTAATCAAACAAAATTGTATTCAAGTCGATAGTATTAACATACGTGGGCGTCAAACACAAAATTACATCTGGGGCCATTGAAAGACATTTACATAAAACAGTTACTTGTTTCTCTACATAACAGAAGCCTTATATATTTTTTAAATGTATGACATTTGTTTTATCTTAGGTTTGTTGCAATCGCTAAAATTTATCCAATCCTCTTCCATCAATCTGTTTTTTTTCTTTTACGTTAATTCAAACTTTATTTCATCTATTTACTTGCTCGTATACAGCCCTGCACTGGCCTCTGTGAAAAACCTGTCTGTAAAGGACCATGCCATGTGTGTTATGTAATCAGCATACCCCGGCATTGCCCACCCTAACCACAACCAATCAAAACCAAAACACAAAAAACCCAAACATAACACAAACACAAAGACAAACCCAACCACAAACGTAAACACACACACAAAGAAAACACAAACACAAACGCAAACAAAAACAAGGTAATTAAAAAGTCTAGTGACAATTTTAGCGCAATTTCCTTATGTTATCTAAAAAATAGCTCTGTCGTAGCGTAAATCAAGAGCAGGGTTAGTAAAACCATTGGTTAGTTATTAAAAAGTTTTTTATTAATTTTTTTCAGTATTTTACATGTTTCATGTACAATAGGGTTACATGACTAAACACCATTGCGCGCCTAGCTACTGAACGTGATGGCGCAGGCATTCAACGTGATGGCGCAGCTATTGAACGTGATGACGCGTGTGGTGGGTTTGGATAAACATGCATACTAATTCGGTCAAAATTTTAATTAATTCAAAAAAAATGTGTGACCGAACGAAAGGATATTTTTGAAAACTTTCTTCGGCAATATTGTTTTAAATTATAGCAGGAATCGATAGGTAAATGTTTCAAGTCGCTAAGTGGTCTGGTTGCCGAGATATGGGCCAAAAACTGCATTTTTTCGAGTTTTTCTTGCTTTTCTGGGAAATCCATGAAAGAAACCCGGAATTTTTTTAGCCTTAACATAATTGCTTTTGGAACTAGTCCTCGATATTGCTTCGTTAAGGAGGAGATACGACTTAAAGCTGCGGACACACATCCATACATTCATTTATACATCCAGAAATGACGGGTTAATAAACGCAATTCTCCAGAATGGAAATTTCGCTAAGAATCAAACGAAAACATTCCAATCCAAAAATCGCATGAAATTTTGTGTTTTCGTCGTTATACAACTCAGTACTTCAGTATATACGAAGTATAGGGGACTTATTTTAATCGGGCAAAAAAATAATAAACGCAGACTTATTAAATTTTCAGCGTTCGTTGCGTTATCGAGTCGGAAAATCTGTGCTTTGCAATTTTATCCGTATTTCTCTGTGTGTATGTGTGTGTGTGTGTGTATGAACACGATAACTTGAGTACCGTTACAGCCAGTTATTGAAATTTCATATATGAGTATTGTTACAAATGTGTAGTTTTGTATCAGTATTTCAGCGATTTCCGCTAATCGGAAGAAGAGCCTATTCTACTTTTAATTTTTCAAAAGCCTATAACTTGAGTGCAGTTTCAGATAGATGAATGAAATTTCACAGGTAAGTAAACGATCTAATTCTCTTCCATCTGTCAAAATGGTGTAATTTACGTTAACCTGAAGAAGTAATTTAAGCTATTTCCGAATTCTCAAAACAAAAAAACGCATGCGAATTAATAAAGTACTAATAATATCCCCGTAGTATTTTACATATAATGTATCCTTTTACACTTGGTGCGCAACCCTTTTTTCTATGAGACTCTATTCTATTTTAAAAAGCTTAAGCAATTTAAAAATGAATTAAAAACATGTCTATGTCCCGAGGTTCAATCCCCCGTAGTGTTACATAAGAAAGTTTAGGCGAAATCACTCCAGGTTTAATTTTTATCTTTGTTACCAATAGGGTTTGATTTCCTTGTTTTGAAGAGTTACCCTTACACCATTTTTGAAAAAAAAAATGTCAAAAAATGTGCCATGCTTTTACAACAAAATACGGACTTTGCTTAGATGTAATAGTTTTTCGAGGTTTGCTTTCAAAGAAAAGGGAATGCCGCTTCTTTTATTACCCGCGGGGGGGGGGGGGTCGTTCTACAACCTCACTGGGCGGTATATAGCGGGTGGTCAGAGAATAATTTCACTCGCTGTAGGTTATGGAATTAAGCGTGGTTGTTGAGACACAATGACAAATTTCATTTTCAGATGTGGTCTATTCAACTGATGCGAGAGCCTTACAAATATGCAGCGTTCGTGACACAAACAAGTGCACTTACTGGCCGTTAAACACTTTACTTTACATAATAATATACATTATATATATATATATATATGTATATATATATATATATGTATACATATATATATATATATATATATATATATATATATATATATATATATGTATACATAATAATATACATTATATATATATATATATATATATATATATTCTTGCATTATGTCATTCATTAAATGCAAAATACGTGGGTTTTTTCAATGTAACACTGGCACCCGGTGACTTTTTATAGAAAAAAGCTATCAATGAAATGTTTAAGCAAAAATATTTAAATAGCATAAGGATAAATTAATCCAAGTTCAGAACGAAGTTATGTGATTTCCTTTATATATATATATATATATATATATATATATATATATATATATATATATATATATATATATATATATATATATATATATAATATAAATATATAAATATATAAATTATATATATATATATATATATATATATATATATATATATATATTTATTTATTTATTTATTTATTTATTTATTTATATATATATATATATATATATATATATATATATATATATATATATATATATATATATATATATATATATATATATATATATGTATATATATATATATCGATATCATATATTCAAGTATTATAATAGGCTAAATTTAAACAAAGTGTAATATCAAATGTATAACATGATATTCTTATAAAAAACTGACGGTGATACAGAACAAAGGAGACATGTTGTTAGTCTCGCTACATAAACTACTATTGATTGAATGACCTAGCTCTACTGTAATTACAAATTATGTTAAAACAAACCACGCGACAGATGGCAACTTTGTTTAACAATCAAGGTGTTGTTTGGGGTTAAGGGCGTTTTTATTTTGCTACGCCCAACGTGTGTTTTAAAATATCTCTTAATATTTACTAAATATTTTAATAACTATTTTTAATAATAATAATAATATGAATATAATAAACATAAGAATAACATTATCACGGGAATCTTTGACACATTTTTTTTTAGATTGGTCCTTGTTTAGTATGATTTTACAATATAAATATCTAAGAAGTAAATTCTTTTTAATTTGGTCAGTATAAAGCTATTTACACAACACGTGTTCCTCTAGACTATACAAAAAATGGAGAAATATGTTTTGGAAGTAGCGTGTACGTTTACCTATCTTTCACACTGCAGCACATGTAGATTTTTTTTCAACGCAACAGCGTGTGTTATTTACTGTGAAACAACCACTAACGTAGTTGATGTTTTTTTTTTTTTTTTATAAAATCTATATAAATGTGCAGAACTAGCATTTATTTTTTGCTGATTCTGAGCCGTCAAAACGGCCTACCATACTTCTCACCCTGCGCTCCATACTGTTGGTATGGTAGTTCCGCCGCTGTTTTTCATTATGGTATACCCTGCATTAAAACATAAGAAAACTCGTTTAGGTATGATCTAATGTTTTTGTAGGTCTCTTTCATGTTTTATTACAAGCTTTTATTTAACTCACTTCCTCTGTCGTCAGTCTGTCTAGATCGAAATGCCCGAGCGAAATTGCAGGCACTTCAAACTGACAGTTACGGTTCCTAGTTTCGTGGGTCAAGACATGAAAACAATACACAATGACATTAAATTTTACTTATTTTGTCGCATGATACATTTTTAATGAATTAATTAAAATGTTGACCAAATTAGTAGATAGTTCTATCCAACTACACCACACGCATCATCAAGTTCAATAGCGCGTCATAACGTTTAATAGGCGCGCAATGGTTTTTAGTAATGCAACTCTAGTGTAAATAAAACGTGTTAAGTACTTAATTTTTTTTTCATAAAAAAGCGTTTTAATATCAAGCTTTTATGTAATAACGCACTAAAAAGGAGAAAATAAATTATACACTACTATTTAAATAACTTTAAAGAAAAGCGTAAGTCACTTTAGTATCTATTGGATACCTTTACTAAAATTTATGAAGAGACCCACACTTTGTTTTATAGTTATTTAAATAGTAGTGTATAATTTATTTTCTACTTTTTAGTGCATTATTACATAAAAGCTTGTTATTAAAACGTTTTTTATGAAATTTATTTTATTTTATGCTATCTACACATTATCGTTTTAAAGTGTAGATAAATTAGGACAATATAAACAACAACTACACTATAACTTTCACTGCTAACTAAATTTTATAAAATACACCAGTACAAATTTAACTACCTTAAATGAACTACATTAACATTTACCGTAAAAATGCAACTCCCTTAAATTAATTGCATTAACATTTACAACACACATATAACTACCTTAAATAAATTTCATTAACATTTACCATACAAATGTAACTCCCTTACATGAATTACATTAAAATTTACCATACCAATGTCAATATTTTTAGACAATGAAAGTACACATTATGGGAATTTTATTCATACAAGTTTATTAATTTTGTAGTATGCTTTTAAAAATGTATTAAGATTAGGTAAAAAGTTAATATAGTTTAATCTAAAAAAAATGGCATACAATTAGC